TACTCTCGGGATGGTAGATGGAGGATTTCGGGGCTCAGGGGGGGGTACTCACTGTACTCTCTGGGTGGAAGATGGAGGATTTCGGGGGTCAGGAGGGGGGTACTCACTGTACTCTCGGGGTGGAAGACGGAGGATTTCGGGGGTCAGGAGGGGGGTACTCACTGTACTCTCGGGGTGGAAGACGGAGGAGGGGGTACTCACTGCGTTCTCGGGGTGGAAGATGTAGGAGGCGGGCGAGTTGTCCAGGATCAGTGTCTTGCTCAGCTCGCGGCCCAGCCGGCTCAGGTCCTTGACGTAGCAGCCCTGGTGGAAGACGCAGGACTCCCGGAACAGCCGGGTCCGGAACACACGGCGCTGGTCCAGCAGGTCAGTGACGGGGTCGGCGTACTGCAGGGGGGCAGGGTGTGTCAGGAGTCACGAGCACGGAGGCGAGCAGACTGGACACACTACAGCAAGAGCACGCGTGAGCGTGTCAGTGTGTGTGTGTGAAGGTCACATGGTTTCGTGCTGTACTACAGACTCTAACCCTTGACCAGCCCGTGACACCCCCAGACCACCCCTGTCTCAACACCTTGACTACGTCACATCATATGTCAGGACACAAGGGGAACCTACATGGAAGTGCATTAAAATCCAAGAACAGGAGGCACTTCCTTACACAAAGAGTTGTGGGAGCGTGGAACTAGCAGAAGCAGGGAAGCTGCTGTTCGTGTGCAGGTCTGAAGCAAGTCTGAAAATCAGGGTGCTGGAGGACCGCGGCCAGGAGGCCCGGAGGACTGGACTGCGATGTGTTTTGTGCCGCCCCGAGGGCCTGGCGCGGTCTTCGCTCATGTACCTTGGCCAGGCTGGCGGTGAACAGGATGCACTCGAACAGCTCGCCCATCCTTTGCAAGAACTCGTCCACGTGCGGCCTCTTCAGGACGTACACCTGAAACACGGCAACAAGTCAGCCTGGCGGAAAACACATCCCTGCCCCTCTTTCTCAGGGAGTGTGAAATAGAGAGGACGCCCCATTAGCACCCCGGCCTTCACTAATCATGGCCTCCTAAGAATCCTCATCTATGAACTGGCTTCATCGCTCTGTAAAGCACTTTGAGTGGAGTGTCCAGAAAAGCACTAAGTGGAAGGAATTATTATTACTACACACACCCCCCCCCACCTCAGTGGTCTCCTGTGTGCCCCTCTCACTAACCTAATGCAAGGTGGGAGCTCTTCCAGTGGGACCAGTAGGGGGCGCTCACCCTGCGGTCTGTGTGGGTCCTAATGCCCCGGTATACCGATGTGAACACTGTACTGTAAAAAGGCGCCGTCCTTCGGAGGAGACATAAAACCGAGGTCCCGATTTTCTGTAGTCAATAAAAATCCCAGGGCGATTTTCGAAAAGATTAGGGGCGTTACCCTGGCTTCCTGGCCAAATTTCCCATGGGTCTTTACCAGTCATGGCCTCCTAATAATCCCCATCTCTGAACTGGCTTCATCACTCTGCTCTCCTCCCCACTGAGAGCTGGTGTGTGGGGAGTGTACTGGTTTCTCTGGCTGCCACTGCATCACCCAGGTGGTGGAGGGGATCCCCATTACATGTAAAGCGCTTTCAGTGGAGTGTCCAGAAAAGTGTCATACAAGTGTAAGGATATTATTCCTATTCCTGTCATTGTTCCAGTTACTGTTACTGCACTGGGCTCCTGTCCTGCTGCCTGCTCTTCCCATCCGTGCTCTTCTCGACTCCGCCGTCAGCAGCCGCCTCCTGAAACAAGTAATCAAGAATAGGCCGCAGTGCCAGGATCCAGCCTATCCTGGATTACTTGAACCACGGAGCAGCTAGGGATCCCAGTGTTCTCCCGGCCTGGGGGGCGCACCAGGAACGCTCCTCTTCCCAGTCTGCCGTGTCTTCGGACTGGGCGCGGCCCCAGCCTGCCCATCCCGGCACAGCGCCGCCGGCTGCAGACTGCTCCTCCTTGGCGGGACTCTGAACCCCCCCCCCGTGGGGGCAGAGCGCCCTCAGCCTGCCTCGTACCTGCGCCCGTCACCACACAGGCGTGAGCGACCGCTCCCCGACTCTCTCACCTGGTGGGTGGTCCCCTCGATCTCCACTGGCACCACGAAGTCCGCGTTGCTGATGGGCTGCAAGACACCAGGCCAGAATGTCACAAAGGCGGAAACACAGGGGGTGGGCCCAAGGTCTCAACCCCCCGACACCCCACGGTCTCAGTCCCTCGACCGGTATGTGACACCCCCGGACACCCCACGGTCTCAGTCCCTCGACCGGTAGGTGACACCCC